GATGGATAATGTGCTTGGTGTTTAGAGCGGTCACAACTGCTGTGGTGATCTGAGTGGGCTCCATGCTTGCCGTGGTATGGCGTGAGCAGGAGAGCAGAGTCGCAGCGGAAGTGGCGGGGGGATGACGATGCTGACAGCAATATGGTGCCCACACAGAAAAAGGCACGAAATGATTGTAGGCCATTGCTTTCACGGAGGGAGGAGTAAGGGGTAGGCTGGCAGCAGACGGTGCAGCACAACTGCTAGCCATTTTGGGTGCTTGCGGTGCTGCTGGCTGGGAGAGCAGCCTGAGGCAGAATGGCCCCCTCAAGGATTGAGCTCATAACCCTGGGTTTAACAGGCCAATGCTCAAACCACTGAGCTATCCCTCTGCCAATATTCCAGGTAGGACTGAATCTCCATTAGCCAAACTTAAAAGAAGAGAATGACCCGAGTCACTCCCATTTATGTCCAGGCGCTCCTGACAGACCTCACCAAGGCTGGCCAAGAGCACCCAGGAGACGACAAGGACGGCTACCAGTCGTACTGCACCGTCTGCTGCCATAAGGCAATGAGCTGCTGCTGTGTAGCAATGCAGTCCTGCGTCTGCCAGCACCCAGGAGACGTATGGCGACGATGAGCTGAGCGGGCTCCATGCTTGCTGTGGTATGGCATCTGCACGGGTAACCCAAGAAAAAAAGTGCAAAACGATTATCTGCTGTTGCTTTCACAGAGGTGGGGCCTGATGACATGTACCCAGAACCACCTGCGACAATGTTTTTTGCCCCATCAGGCATTGGGATCTCAACCCAGAATTCCAATGGGCGGTGGAGACTGCGGGAACTGTGGGATAGCTACCCACAGTGCAGCACTCCAGAAGTCGATGCTAGCCTTGGTGCTGTGGACGCACTCTGCCAACTTAATGATCTTAAGTGGGGACACACACAATCGACTGTATAAAATCGCTTTCTAAAAAATCGACTTCTATAAATTGGATCTAATTTCGTAGTGTAGACATACCCTGAGTGTGTTTGGGAGGCAGAACAATGTGTGGAAGGTCTTACCTATGAATTCAGAGAATGGAAAACCCTACCTGTCTAAGCTCCAAGAGGTTAGAAATTTACTTAATAAACTTATCCTTCCAGGCTGCAAGTCTCATTCTCGAAAGTATACAACTAGCACATATAGTGCTCAGATACTTTGGGGGTAATGCCAGTGAGCTACAGAGCTTTTCACTAGTAGGTCACCAGTTTGAATCCTGCTCAGCTCAACAGAGTTGAACAGTTGTTCCCATTTAATGGATGTTTGGTAGCCCCTATGTCATAAATATAAAGGGAAAGGTAAACACCTTTAAATCCCTCCTGGCCAGAGGAAAAACCCTTTTACCTGTAAAGGGTTAAGAAGCTAAGATAACCTCACTGGCACCTGAGCAAAATGACCAATGAGGAGACAAGATACTTTCAAAGCTGGAGGGTTGGGGGCGGAAACAAAGGTTCTCTCTGTCTGTGTGATGCTTTTGCCGGGACCAGAGCAGGAACGCAAGTCAGAACTCCTGTAAAGAGTTAATAAGCAATATAGTTAGATATGCATTAGATTTTGTTTGGTTTAAATGGCGGATAAAATAAGTTGTGTTGAATGGAATGTATATTCCTGTTTTTGTGTCTTTTTGTAACTTAAGGTTTTGCCTAGAGGGATTCTCTATGTTTTGAATCTGATTACCCTGTAAGGTATTTACCATCCTGATTTTTACAGAGGTGATTCTTTTACTTTTTCTTTAATTAAAATTCTTCTTTTAAGAACCTGATTGCTTTTTCATTGTTCTTAAGATCCAAGGGTTTGGGTCTGTGTTCACGTATGCAAATTGGTGAGGATTTTTATCAAGCCTTCCCCAGGAAAGGGGGTGTAGGGCTTGGGGGGGATTTTGGGCGGAAAGACGTTTCCAAGTGGGCTCTTTCCCTGTTATTTTTGTTAGACGCTTGATGGTGGCAGCAATAAGGTCCAGGGACAAAAGGTAAAATAGTTTGTACCTTGGGGAAGTTTTAACCTAAGCTGGTAAAAATAAGCTTAGGGGTTTTTCATGCAGGTCCCCACATCTGTACCCTAGAGTTCAGAGTGGGGAAGGAACCTTGACACCCTATACGAAGTGAGCTTGGAGAGTCCTATTTCCAGTTCCTGTGTCACAAATGCACCAATATGCTTTGCACTGAATAGTAAACTCTTCAGTGCAGGGGCTTTCTCTGTGTTGTATGGTGCCTGGCACAATTGGGCTCTGATTTTGGTTGGGTTTTCTAGCAAGACCTCCTGGAACAGGGGTTAAAAAATTGCCTCAGTATAAGTTTACAAAAGTTGGTGTAATTGTCTAACACACTGGAGGTGGACAGCGGGACCAAACCCACTTTTTAAAAAAACACAAGATTTTTTGGGGGGGGTCTAAGTCAGACTTTTGAACTTTAGCATTGGCAGTACTCTGAAAATGGCCTCTGAGCATTAGCATAGTATATATATTTAATATGCTAGGAAATGGAAGAAAAACTGTAACATAGATAAAGGAAAAGAGAGTATAAAATGGTTGGGAAGGATAAAATTGAAGAGGCAGAATCTACAAAACATCACAAAGTGAAGTAAGGTGGCAGCATAATGATGTGTGAAGGGTGGAAAAAGCACTTACAAATGTCAAAATGATTAAACAGCAATTAGACTATGAAGAAATCATAGAATATCAGGGTTAGAAGGGACCTCAGGAGGTCATCTAGTCCAATCCCCTGCTTAAAACAGGACCAATCCCCAATTTTTGCCCCAGATCCCTAAATGGCCCCATCAAGGATTGAACTCACAACCCTGGGTTTAGCAGGCCAATGCTCAAACCACTGAGTTATCCTTCCCCACAGAAAAGGCAAAATTAAAAAAAAATATGTACAAGTTCCACCATACTGTTCAGTAGTGAAAGGACTAAATAGATGTATAAAAAGCTGTGATGTGAAAGTGAAATGCAAATTGTGGCTGCTGCTTGAACCCCCTGTTGGGGAACAGACACCCTGTTCAGAAATTACTTGAGTGGAAGATCAGTTCCCACGTACTCGGATACCAGCCTTGGCTGGCACCAGCTGAGTTCTTTTAGGCTGAATGTTCTCTTAGCTGCAAACTCCATAGATGGTTTTTACCAGAAGATACCAGTGTGGTAAAAATGCCTGTGTCCTGTTTGCATTACAGCTCCACAGTTTTGCAACTGCTAGTGGCAAGTATGGCTGTGAAGTTAGTTAATGTATCCAAGGCCTTAGGGTAAACCTTTACTTGAGAATTACACTGTTGCAATTTTCACCAGTGCAGCTGGAACAGTGGATAACGCCCACAGTCTTGTTTTGGGTACACACAATTAACTGCTTCCACATGCAGAACTCCATGGAAGCCTCAGAAAGCTGTGCCTTCTTGGACCTATCCTACAGTGCCTAGCACAGCTTTCTGAAGTGAGTGTAGAATGTGGTTTATCATGGAGATTAGAGCCTGTTGACATGTCTGTTTTTGTTCTGTTTCTGTTTCTGCCTAGGTCGAACAGTTCTGTCCTGCACCTGATTTGTGCAGGAGCTGCAAGGGGAGAACCCCTGTTGTGCTGTCACACACAAGGGAGAGGTCACATTGATGAGTTTGCATCATATTTCTTGCTCTCACATACAAAATGCTATGGCCCTTGAGATGATGGCCTCGGGCAGAGTGTGTGTGCGCCCCGATGGCGTGACATCTGTGTGTCAGAGAGACAAGGTGGGTGAGGTAATATCCTTTATGGGACTAACTTCTGTTTATGAGAGAGACAAGCTTTCAAGCCACAAAGAACTCCTCTTCAGGTCTAGGAAAGGCACCCAGAGCATCACAGCAAAATGCAAGGGAACAGATAGTTTAGTTTAAATTTATTGTTTGACCCAGTGTCTCGCTCCCAGGTGCAGTGTTGTGTAGCTTTTCTTTGCAGATGAGGACTGTTAGGTCAGATATAGAGTGATCGCTTTGTGAAAAGCATTCTCCCACAGTTGATGGGGTGTTTTGTTTTTTATCACTTTCCTGTGTGAGTTCATTCAAGTGATTAGTGATTGTCTTGTTACACCCACATAGTTGTTGTTGGACCACTTAGTGCACTGGTACACCACATGTGATAGGCCCATGGATCTTGAAAGGTGTGTTGTGAGGAATGTTGATCACAGTAGCAGTGGAGATATGTCTGTAGGTTTTGCATCTGGTGCTGCTTTGAGTTGTTTTTTTCCTCACAAAATATTTTTTAAAATTTCACTAGGAGTTTAAATTCATTACTCTGATAGACACTAAAAGTCCTGGACTGAAGAGAGAGACTGGATTTATGGCTTATTACAACACTGTAACTATCTAAGGCCAGGTTTATAGTACAGACTTACATGGGTGAAACTAGGTTGTTCAGGGGTGTGAAACATCCAACCGAATCCCCAGTGTAGACCCTGCTATGTTGCTAGGAGAGCTTCTCCCATTGCCATAGCTTCTCCCTCTCCTGGAGGTGGATTAAATATACTGATAAAATGTTGCATAGCAGCTTCTCCTAAATTTAGTCCAGGCCTAATCTCTTCTTTTTGTCCTATAACTACAGGGGTGGAAGCAGGCTAGTCTTCCTTGACTGGTCCCTTACAATATGTGCTTGCATGTTGCTCTGATGTTCGGAGTCCCTTTCCCTGAAGGCGAGCTGGTCCACCCACCTTGTTTGGCTAATACCCTGGGACCCCCAGGCCTCCACCTCCATGTGTGTCACACGCGGGGGGCGGGGTGGCACCCACCCTGAGCTAGGTGCATGGAGGGACTGGGCCCCCTGGCAGCACAACTCCCCCTACCCATCAGCTGTGGGGCAGGGTCGGCTCCTGACAGGATCCAAGGTGGAGCCCACCTCCCCTGTGGGTGGAGCTAGGGGGCGTGACCCCGGCGGGGTTGCCGGCGGCGTCGAGGGAGGGCGGCGAGATACAGGCTCCGCCCCTTGGCGGCGGCGTGGGGGGGGCGGGGCTAGGGGACCGAGTTTGCTGCACCGGCCGCTGCCGCGGCTCTTCGGCAGGGCCGGGCGGGCTGTGGGCCCCGCGCGCTCTTGGGGCCATGCGGAGGGTGCTGCCGCTGCCCCGCAGCTGGCTCGGGGGGCGGCCGGCCGGGCCCACGGGACTCCGCGGGCTCTGCAACGCCGCCGCCGGCCTCGCCGCGCCACCCCCCGGGGACAGCGGAGGCGGCACCAAGGTAACCGGGGTGCAGGGCTCCGGGGCGCCCCTGGTGCGGAGCCGGGTGCGGCGTCGAGGCGCGGGGAGCAGCCGCCTCCGCACCCCGGGGCAGAGGGCTCGTGGCGCGGGGACAGGCGGCAGCATCGCCCGGGGGAGCCGGGTCGGGGGCGGGGAGCTCTTCTAGCTCCCACCGGCTGAGCGCATGGAGCCGGGCGATCCCCGCGCAGCTGAGCGGTGGCCGGGAGGGTGCACGGGCCAGCTCTGCCCCATACCCCCTCGGCTGCGCTTTATCATGGCTCGGAAGGGAACCGGAGTGAAACCGAAGCCGCTCGAATCCGAGCTGGCCGTGGCCGTGGCCGTGTCGCCTGTCCCCGCTGAGGTTTGACACTGTCCCGAGAACAGGGATGCTCGTGGGGTGCGCAAGTGTCTGGAGGGTTTCTTCTCTTTTGGCACGCTGTCATGTGGGTGAGCAGCTCTGTCCTGTGGCTATAAGACTGTAATGATACATACTGGTGTTGTCAGGCACTATGTATGTTCATGAAGCTTTGGGATAGTGCCTCACGGGTATATATTGCTGGACGGTGTAATTATGTGCATAGATAGTAGACTGAAGTTAATGTGAGTAGCTGATATGCAAGAACAACGGAAATCCTCTTTGCTAGTGCCTTCTTGATAGGGTTGGTATCGGTTATGGATTCGCAAAGCTATTAAGCATCTATTATCAAGTGCTGCTAAAGTAAAAATGTAATTTTCAAGCAACAGGAATATTCTAATAATCTTTGTAACCATGAAATTGATGGACAATAACGAATTGTTTATATAGTAATTACACTAATGAGAACATTTTCTGTTGTACTACTTTGTGGTCCATAAATATCCAGGGAGTAAGAATTGCAAAGCAAAATAGTTCTAGTACTCAAAAGATTCATGGAAACACTTGGAAAACTGAGAGATGTACTCCTGTTCAAACACAGATATGTGGAAGTGAAATGTAAGTACTTGAGAGAGTCTTCTTTGCAAACGTTCACAGTCTGATCTTCCAGTATGATGCCAAACAATAATGTTATGCTATTGTATATACAACAGGCTTACATAGTAGAAATCACCCCTCTGCCCCTCCCTCCCGCCCAGTAACTATTAGCCTGGTGGTAGGTAAGTGAATAGTGTCAGATTTTTGAACAGATTCATTATGGCTTAAATGTAATAATAAATGGAAGTTGTCTCCAAAATCCTACTGTGAGCTGCAGTGGAACTTGTTTTAGAACGCTGAACAAAGTATGTTCTTGTTCAAAATCTGAGGTAGAATGTATGCTGTCTGGCTATAGTCTTTGATCCATCTGTTATATAATCACAGTTTCAATGGTGAGGACTTGGTTGTTACCAGTACAAATAGGCTTTTAAAAAAAACAAAACCGGACATGTTTCTTGAGCATTGGTCCAAAATTGTACTGTTTCAAAATATGTGAAAGCTCACTAATTAGTGCCATCTTGCAAAACTATATATACTAAGGGTAAGAAATGGTGTGTTTGGCTTTTTATTTTTGGCCAGAAGAGTGAAGTATTAGGGTTTTATTTTTTATTGTGATGGGTAATAGGCAGGTGAGTAGACTTCTGCCTGTCATCATCTCCAGACTGTATTGTTAGTTTTTTCTTTGGCTCTTCTTGATGTTGATCTTGCATCTGAATGCATCTGGTACTGCATAGGTGTGTGCATGTCAGTAAGTTAGCAGCGTAGGGGCACTGGTGGCTATTTAATTCCCAGATACACATGAAAGTCTTTAAAAAGCCAATTTAATCAGATTATTAAGTGTTCTAAATATAAATGTACCACAATACAATATTTAGAGAATGTAAATAGTTAAAATTTAAAAAAAGCAGATGTGAAGAGTGAGACAAAACTGAAAAAAAAATTCACTCAGGATTTGAAAATAGATGGAAAGGTGATAGGACAGAGCTACAGAAAGGTTCAAGCAACTCAGATATTTTGTAAAGTATGGTTTTGAACTGACTGATAGGAAAGATTGAGGGTAGGCTGACATTTTCCGCGTATACCAAGGAAACAGGGTAGGTGACAGTGGTCTGCCCAACTGAGACCCTTGGAGGTCATGAAGAAGGGACAGTCATCAAGGGAAGAGGAGATGATGTGGATGAGCACCTCAGCAAATATTTTTTGTTTTAACATTGCCTTCAGCTTCTGGTACCTAAGCTAGAAATGTGACCTTTCAGTGGATTTCTGTTTGTAATTATTTAATTTTTAAATTGTGCCATAAGAGTATGTGTTCATTGACAGACATTTATAGGAATTGCTTTGTTACTTCCTGGGGGCGGGGGATGGGGAAACTGGGGAATTAAGGGATTTTGGGGTTGGGTGAGGAAGATAAGCTGTGTACAGGAGACCGAGGAAATGAAGAGCTCCTTCTCCAGCTGCCACCTTTTTCTTGATCTGGTCTGTGGCGCTGACCAGCAAAAGTAGCTCACCAGTGCCTGATGGACCACACTGAAGCTCCTATTTAAAATATTGACTTACGAAATTAGACTTTAGATCAGATAATTTTTATGCTGTGTGCTAGATCTCAACAAGCTTAATGCAATTAATTTAGTCATCACTCTCCTTTTTTCTGTCATGCTGAAAATTGGTTTTAAAAAAAAGTCATTTTTGGAATTCAGTCATCTCTATTTCTGAAGTTTTATGATTTGGAACTCTCACCTTCTAATCACTTCAGATATCTGAAGAAGAAAATCTACCTTGATCCAGCTCTGTTTTGAGGCTGTTTTTTTTTAGTTGGCGATGGAGGGCAGAAAAATCATGCTTATAATGGAAACTTAACTGAAACTTGTAACTGTGGAATGCTGCTCTACAAGGCGTCGATGTTCTGTATAGTACAAGGAGTTTTCAAATTTTGACCCTACAAGTTGCCATACATTTCAAGGCAATACCCCTGCTCTCCTTCCAAAACATTTAATTTAAATCGTTTGATATTTTATCTTCATTTTTCCTTCTGTTTGCTTACATAGATCTTGCTTTTATACCCTGTGCTTAACACAGTCACTCTTAAGTTATAGAGAGTGAAAGTCTTAAAGCAATAGTGAGAGGAAATGATTCAGCGACTTACAGATCGGTGAGATGGGGAAATACAAAGCAAGTGGTTATATCCTTTTTCAACATAATGGGGAGGAGATAGAGCAGGTCAGTCAATATTAGAAGCGGGTAGTGAGTGGTCAGGACTGCTGAGTAGATGGATGGGGCACAGAAGTAGGAAAGAAGTAGTCTATGTAGTTTAGTAAAGCTAGTAGATAGTTTTGCTATCATGATTGTGTCTGCATGGGCATTTTTCATGAACTTTTTGCTGTCACTGGTGGAACTGTACTAATGTTAGTGCAATGGCAGGAGATTTAAGAATATTGCCAGTGTAGTTGAGGCTAAGGGATCTAGAAAACCATTAGACACCGAGATGAAAATTTGAATTGCTATCTACTTCGCATTCACTAACTATCTTTAGAGCTACGTTTCTCAAATGCGGCCACTGGGGCCACCAGGTGCTTTTCTTGCAGCCACAGCCTCTTGGGCTGTGATTGGGTGGGGAGGGGGGAAGAGAGCAGTGGCCCCTCTCCAGGGGGAGCAGTGGGGGTTGGGCCTTGCCCCCCTTTGAAGACACAAACACTGGAGGTATAGGCAGCTGGTGAATATCTCTCTTCACAGCAGCAGACTTACTATCGAGCAAGTTTTTTTTTTAAAAAAAAAAAAAGCAACCAAAAAAGCAAAAGACACAACAACAACAAAAACAAGAACATGCAAAACACCCTATTTGTGTTTCTATTCTGTTTAGGTCCAGTAAAGAATAGAGACCACTGTACATTATTTTTATTACTGAGTCTGAAATAAAACCCTACATAAATAAATTACAATGATTTGGACATGTATATATGCATATTTATTTGTTTTTCCAAAGTTAATTAAGAATTTTAGGAAAAATTGTCAGCACAGCCACCAGCACGAGTTGGTGGCTGCACTCTGAGGCCACCAAAAATTTTGTTGTGAGAATCCCTGCTTTAGAGGCCCCTCAAAACAAAGCAAAAGAAACTGGTGCCTCTTTGAAATTTCAGTCTTTAAATGAGTTGTCAGGACCATACTGTACACTTGTTGAAATTTATTAGTTAATGAGCTGAGGAAGGCATGAAGAGAGGCTATATTTGGGTGTGTAGCCAGAAGCAGCCTTCAGCCAAAAAACTTTTCAGTCTAATCTTCAATGTTTTGGAGCAGAACTGGGATTAAGAAAGAAGCGTGTTACAGATTGAACCATCGGTGTTACCAACTCCAGCAGCTAATTTGAGTCTTCAGAGGAAACACTGGTTTTTAAATGCTGTATAAAATGGCTCAAATCAACTCCTCCGGTAACCATAACATTAAGTAGGTTGTGCTTAGTCAACTGTGCTCCTGTTGTCATCAGCATACTCAGAGAAGATCAGTGCTTCAGCTGCAATATAATTCACTTTTAAAGTCTTGAGCCTAATTTATTTTAAGTATGTTCCTTAAGTCAAAAATATAATTTTCTTTTCCCTTGTCAATTGCCACAGTCGGTGAGTCTTCCCTCCTGAAGGAATAGCCATTTTCATCCACTGATGAGCTGCTATAGTTCTACCTGTCATAAACCAGTGATTGTCTAAAGCTTCCTAAAAATCTATCATGAGGTTTGGCAACCAATCTAATGAATAGATTAAGGATTTGCTAATAAAGCAGGCTTCTGTGTGCCAGTCTTACGACAGTGCAGTCTGTTTTTGCATCGTTCACTTGATCTTGCAAACAAAAGGAAGAAACTAAGAATTGTACTTACATTTTCTCATGCTGTTTGAGTATCATAGTCTGCATTTCCCCTCGTTCTCATAGCACTGCTTGATGAAGTAGACATTGTCAGGAGAGAGTTCTTGTGTTTTGTAAAGAAAAAATTAAACTCATACGTTTTATAGTTTTACAGTCTTGAATATTCAGTACTTTTATATATGCTCTTTCTGTGTAATTAG